AGTGTCTTCGTCCAAGAAATTGCTAAGCGGTGTCCAGGGGCCACAGTTGAAACCCATGGTGATCAGCTTGGGCTTCTCGACTTTGATCTCCTCAAGCACTAAGCGCCTGTCTTCTTCCTTCAAGAAGTTGTCTCCCAGCAACAAATCCCGGGGACGACCATATGCGAAATCATTGTCTTTTGCCAGCATTGTCACCACACCACCGTCTTTTCCACTGTACAGCTCCTTCACAAGCACCTTTCTCCCACACTTCATGGCTCCTTTTCGAAGTTCTTTCCACAGAGCTCTTCCATGTTCTTTGGCCTGTTCAGCCATCTGTTGGACTTTCTTTCGAAGTTTCCCTTTCATGATCCTGATCGCCTCCACGTTGTAGTCCTTCGCCTTCAACTGATGAAACACCTCAACCGTCTCACCTGCCAGCCTAGTGTCTTTTCTCTTCTCACTGTTGTGTCCAATGTCCAAGAGCAAATGACCACCTTTGCCATACTCCAAGGTCACCTTCTCTGAACCAATGGATGTGAACTGGATGGTCGGCTTTGGCATTGCAGTGAGATCGATGACTGCACCAAGCTCTTTGAGTTGTGGAAGGCCCAACAACAATGGAACATCAGAATTGGGAATTCGATGTAATGCCACACGACCTTACTGACCGGCAATGTGAATGTCGATCCACTGCTGATGCTGCACAAGAACTGGTGCGTCTGCATTGACTCCTTTCAGAACCTTGTTGGATGTCTGGAGAGTTGTCTCGCTTCCAAACTTTCCAATGAAACGGTCCAATGTTCGGTCACCACCGCAACCAATCAATGCAGCTGTGTCAACAACACACATTCCGGACGGCACTGTCTCGCGTCCGGCTCCTGCCATGAATGTCAGACTGTGTGGGACTGTTGCCAACTCGGATTCATTTGTCATGAAGGCGTCCACCTGCGACAATGACTGCAGCTCCTCAAAGGTCTCGAACTTGGGCCAGCTGTGGATCTGATCCTCGATGTCAAACTCACGGAACTCCTCCATGCACGACAAGTTCAAACAGTTCAGGGCTTCTTGGCATGATGCGAGCAGCTGTCCTGATGCCGATGCGAGCATTGCTGCTGCCATTCCAGCCCTCTGGAGAAAACCACCCTTGCGGCCTCCTTTCTTTCCAGAGCCTTTCTTGCCGCCTTTTGAACTTGATGATGAACTCGTGCTCTTTGGACATGACTTGTCACCACGCCAGTGTCCCTTTTGTCCACAGTCATAGCACTGCGTCCGTGACTTGATCTGCTGCAACTTGTCTTGTAGCTGTCCTGCGTTGAAAGTCACCTTGCCATCCAATGCAATTGCTGTTCGATTGTGGCCAACTGTGCTAGGTTGATATCCTCTGTTGACCTTTCCATCTCTGACCGCTTGTCTTTTGCGAGCATATTCTGAAGCACCTTTACCCATTTTCTGAGCAGTCATAGCGAAGATGTCCAATTCCTCCAGAGAGAGGTCATCAACTGCCATCACCTCCACGGCATGTTCCATCTCCTCGATGTCGAAATGGATGTCTTTTTCGACTTCATAGATGGGGACTCCTTCTTCAGCAGTTTCGTCATCATAGTACCAGTCATCAACTGCGTACACATCCTCAGTCTCACCATCATAGCTTGACCACTCCTCTTCAATTGGGTAGGCCCATGCGCTTCTTTTGCCGCCTGTATTGTAGCTGCTTTGTTGTCTTGACTTGAAACCACCTTTCCAACCCTTGTTGCTGCTGATGTCATCACCACCGTCCAATTGAATGAGCATAGCTTCAACGATTTTGTCCCAATCATACTCATTCCCTGCCTGACCCAGGATGGCACGATGTTGCGATGAGCTCACACCAGCATTCCTCAGTAGGAAAAAGGCTTGCAAATCAGTCGACAACTTTGTATGACCTTGTGTCAAACTTGTCAGCTTCTCATATTCATTCTCTCGGCGACTGATGTAGTCTTGGATGCTTTCGGATGCCTTTCTTCGACCTTTCTCAAAGAAGTAGTCTTCGAAGGTCTGGGTCTTGAGCAATGGAGCAACCTTCTCACAAGCATTCCTCACAACTTTTACCACCAGTTGTACTGCTGCTCGTGGTCCTGTCGTTGTGCTCGGGTCCGATTCACTCAGCTGAAGGAGTTTCTGAGCTGCGATCTCTGGTTTCCTGTGACAGAGTGTCCATGCACGGCCATGCAATGCGTTCTTGAGTTTTGCTGCATAGGACACTTTCTCCTCCTTCATCACAGTTTGAAAACCCAGCCATACCCGCTCTTCATATTCTTCAGCCAACTTTGGATTGCCGTCATAATGCACAACGTTGGACTTCGGGTCAACATACAATGATTGCCCATTTGACTGCATTGTAAAATTTGAAATCGTGCAAAATCAAAAAGGTGATACTGCGAGCCAACAAAACTTGCACCAAATTACCTCAGCAACTTCCGAAGTGTCCAGCCTTCACAAAAGTACTCGAGAATGACAATTCCGGTACAATAGTGAGCCAAAAATCACCTCAGACTGCCACCAACCAATGAAGGGTACTGTACGACCAACTCCAAAGGTTCACCACCTGTCCAGCTCCAGGGCGGGGACACCAGAAACAATCCGCAAGCGAAAAGTCAATGGCAGCGCGCCGACCCAGAGCACCTTAGGCTCCGCCTACCAGTGCAAAGCGCGGAATGAGCGCACACACGAACCTTTTTGGGGCTCGCGGGAGGCTCAAGGCCTAGGTAAAGGATTCGAGCCAAACCACCACAGTAAGTGAGCATGTGGCGTACCGTTTGGCTGTCCGTCCGTCTGTCATGTCGTGAAAGGTCATGCACATGGTTCACTAACTTTACAATATATATAACTGGCGCTTCCCCTGCCTCCCGCTCAACTTCACACTTGCTTCAATTAGTCAATGGCACAATGCCATGCTATTAAATGCGTCCATCAGTGTGTACATATGTCAAGTACAACCGTCAATCAACTCGAATGTACAACAGCAACTGGGCTGGAACTGGGAAATCATCGACTCAAAACTGCAGCAAGTTGCCACCACAAGAGCGCAAAGTCCACCCCTTCCCACTGAGCCAGTCAGCGATCTCAACACTGCACTTGCTCAGGTTGCTGGTGCCCTCATCCACCAAAAAGTAGCCTCCAGGCCAAGCAACAAAGGAATCTATACAAGATTATACAAGGGCAGGTGTGTGGTGATCCGACGATTTGAGGTGCTATTGTGGTGCTATGGTATTTGTAGGTATTTAGGTACGAGTATATTCTCGGCTAGCCAACAACACGCGTTCAGCGTGCAAACTGTCGGAGAGTTCGGCTGGCTGCAGGAAGCGTCAAAACTGCAAATGTCAAGCCAAACCCTGAAGTTCCTGAAGCCTGCTGGGGCAATGTACTGCGCACCGCACAGGTTTTCCAGATTGCAGGGCTGACAACCCTGGCTTGCAAAGTGCTCGCCTGCCTGCAATATAGCCTCTGGGTCACCATTCAAGTAGATTCGCCCCACATTTCTGAGCTCCACTATTATGTGGTCATGAAAGCCAAGCGAATCCTGGACTGGAACTGGAACCGAGCTCCAAGATCTATTACATTAAGTTGTGACATTTTGGGGGGCCTTCCCCTCCATGCTTTGCCAGGGAAAGAGTACAATGATTCTTTGGACCAGCCATGAATCTTGGCGGAAGAGTAGGTTCCGCTGTCGCCGTGTTCCACACCTGCCAATGAGATCTGACTCAGTATGCGCCACCAAGGACCATCTGCATGTTTGAGCCATGAAGTTGATGATGACTGCAGCACGTTGCCCCATGTTGTTATCTCCAGAGTTGGCACTGGAGATGCTGGAACATGAGAAGGATGCCTTAAACCTGCGGTCGCAGAAAGCAACATCGGCCGCCAAGCCTTTGCAATTCAAGTCGTTTTGCAGGTACCCAGCCAAATCATCCAAGATGCCCTCAGTGTTGCTTCCAATAAGTTCAATGTACCCCATCTGCTTCATTACAACCATGATGCAAGGGCCCACGATGTTCTTCTGGTGAGGTGATCGGAACGTAAGCTGTGACTCCTGGGCACCCGTGTGGAGGTTCTCAATGCTGCAGGACAGCACTTCACAGGAGCATTCATTCATGAAGTTGATCAGCTCAAGTGCACGCTTCGGAATGTTGCTCTCATTTTGCCCACGAATAGCCTCCCAAAAAGGCAATGCCAGCATGCCAAGACACAACTGTTTGATACTCGCGATAGCCGGAAGAACGTGTCAACACCACTGCACCCCAAACAATATCAATGTTCGGAATAATGCAGGTAGCGAAGCGGATGACAAGAACAAAAGTTGCATCCGAATCGAACCCTGAAATATCTTAAGCCTATATCATTATATCATTGTAATATATCTGTTATATCATTATATGTACATATATATATATATGTCCCTCCAAGCCTGGAAGATGCCATTGCCTTGGACCTGTCCACACGGCAACTGCTTTCCCAAGACAAAGTGCTTGTCACATGTGTAGTCCATGGTCTCACGCGGCAAGTTGGCCTCTCCATTGCTCTTCCAGCAACAAGTTCCAGTAGGCATCACCCTTCTGGGCACCAAGGCCGCCTCTTGGGCCAGCCACGTGCATTTCAAGAAGCCTTCGATGTTCCCATCCAGATCTGGGCCGCAAAGCTCTACGTACCCAGATGAGCACAGCCGAAGGTGAATGTGAGGAATCTGCGTCCTTTTCTGGAAGCTCTTCAGGATGGGCTGCTGCTTCTCAAAATTGGCTAGCTCCCTGCTGCGTTCTGCATCCAGCTCGTACTGCGTGTAGCCAACAGTTTGCCCCATGAGCCTGGCCTACCCCAAGGCCGATATATAAAGCACAAATGCCTGCGTCCCACGGGCATTCTCGTCGCACTAATGCTTGCCATGCCATCCTAAAGACATCCGCCAATCCCCACTACGCATCACTACGCCATGTTCTTCAATCTCCACCTTGCATTTCATGGCAATCATACAAAAACACCCTAGCCTGACTGCTTCTCACTGCGCGAGTGAGAGTGTTTGGGCTCCAATTCCTGCACCAGTGTGGAAGGTGGTCCAAACGATTTGAAGACACCCGGACACCCCTTGCCTTTTCAATTGTACTAGACACAACATCTCACTAGATTCACTAGATCCTGTTACAGTAATTAGTGACTGTGCGAGCATCCTTTCGAGCTGCCCCTGTGTCCCGCACATTGCAAGTGTGGCTTGCCTTTTGGGCACTGCGTAGGGCACGCCGCATCTGATTCAAACGCTGGTCCACCCGCTCTTTGGCAGCGCGACCTGGCCAAACCAGGGTGAAGCAAGGCCAAACAGCCAAAAGAGCAAAAGGTGCTGCACAAGTAATATTGGATGACATTCAGAATCCAAACTTGCTACTGTATATACTTGGTGAATTTCCACAACACATACAGCATTCAGACTGTTCAGGTTTCAAGGCATGGAGAAAGTGTCGTGCAACGTCGCAGTGTCTCTACTGCAAGGGCAGGACAGCGGGCGATGTCTTCCCGAAGGTGGAAGATCTTTGCCTTTTGCCTGGCAATCAGCGGCCGGTCCTGGTGCTTGTCAACACAAACACATCTGGGTGGGCCTGCATAAAAAGTCGCTGCGGTACTTCGGGCCATCTTTGGCCTCCGCTTTCTCATCCCAGCCAATGGGATACCGCACCTTGGAAGGAAATACCACATCCTCAGAACCTGCATGCTTATCCGATCCCAAAAAATGAACGAATGCTGGACCCGAAGCAGCACTAACTTAGGAAACACTGGGGCAACTACCTGGCGAGGATAGGGACCTCACACTCAGAGTGAATGCCCACAAAGGGAAGAACATTAAGCAAATCCAGCAATGTGTCTTTCCTGAAGATAAGTCGCGCCAGACTTGCTGGTAGGAGGCTGGGCCAACAGCAAGTGACCAAGCCCCAGAAAATGGAATCGCGCTATGCAAGAAAGGCTTTATCAGCTCCTGGCCAGGCGCATCCTTCTTGCTCCTGGCACGCCTGCAACAATGGCCCATTGAGCTGCAGTCGTATGGGTTCTTGATGATTCTTGTGATTGAGGGCGTGGAATCTGTGGTTGTAGTATGTTGTGGCATCTTCTGGGCAAAGGGTATATCTATCTAAATAGAAGTTAAGTAAATCTAATAACAATAAATGAATAAATAGGAATACATAGGTATATATATATATCAAATGTTGATATATGCGGCCAGCTTTGCATGGTCACTTTGTGGATCCTTTCTGGTAAGAGCTTCTCTCGCATGTTGCCTCGGCGTAGCTGAGACCTCAGCAAACTTAAAAGCATCTAAAAGCACTCCTGTCACAAGGGCACAGCCTACAGTAGCAGCCGGTCAATCCTGTTCTGGTCTTGTGAGGAATCTATATGCATCTATAAGGTCTGCGCTGGTTGTTGTCGGCCCATCTCCTTGCAAAGTCACAAAGTTGATCATTCGATTCAATTCGAAGGCCCAAAAGCACGTTATCACTGCATGATGCTGTCTTCAAATTGTGTATGCTCCACAAATTGCTCTATATATCCGTATGTCCCTGTCTTGCCTGCGTCCAAATGTGCCCCGTCTTCTTGTGAACCTCCAGGCTAGGCTAAGGTCCCAGTTGGAAATGGGAGTGGCATGGCCTAGCTATGATTTGCTACGACCGCGGCCACGATTTTCTCTTGATCACCTTGATTCACCACTAGGACCACTAGCCCCACTAGGACCGTGATGGCCATGGGCTGACACCCAGCTTTTCTGAGCTCCGTGACTGGCAACTTCTCCGTCAACCAATGGTGAGGCCCCCGCCTCGGCAAAACGCAGTATGGAAGGAACAAATGGAAACCCAGCATCCCATCTGTCCCCGTCATCGGTGCGCAAGCAATCCTTGCAGCCCAAGCAGTGTTGCAAGTTAAGTTTAATATACAGTATAAATCTAGGAACCATCCTTAGTGCGAGTGTTTGTTCAAGGAAGCGTGAGCTATCCTGCGTCCGTATGTAGTAGCTTACTGCCTGACTTAAGTATGTATGCAGGCCACGGGCAAAAAATATATGAGGGCATATGTAAAGACCTTCGCAGACCGGTCTTTTTCTCGTGAAATGTCACCGAGCCAAAAAACAGCTGCATCTACAATTCCTGGCCGCTCTTCTCTCATCCTCGTAGCTAGCTCTAACAGCATCTCTTCCAGCCGGTATTTGCTTTCATTCGGTGGGTTCATGAGAAATAGTCCGGACTTCTCGAGCCCTGCTTGATTAGCAGTTGATACTTGAAACTCGGCAGCCAATATCTCGATGCCCAGGCTGAGAGCGTGCTGATAGAGGCCAGCAGTCTGCTGGGCGTCCAAACAAGGATACCAAAACATGATGCTGCAAGATCGCCACTGCTCAAGCAAATGTTTCACCAAGTACAGGCTCCATGCAAGGTACAAATCATAGGGCTCATAGGGAGGGTCCATAAAAACGAGACTTCTCTGATGTGGAACAGGAGCACCCAGCAAGGTGGTGTAGGAGTCCTGACAAAGGACCTGGACCTGCGTGCGCTGATTCAATCGCTGAAAGTTCCGGGTGAGGTCAGAGGCCATGGTGTCTGAGATCTCGAAAAGCCTAAGTGCCAAATCCAACATCTTGGCAGTCCAGAGCAGGAAAAAAAGACGGCTTCTTAAGTAGAATCAAGCCAGGTGAATCACCGGAATCACTACATTTTGCGTTCTTCATTCTGATCGAACCAGGAGATTCGCCTCACGCAATCATGAATGGTCAAGGCTCATCGCAAGATCTTGAGGCCGAAGCCAACTCGCCGCAAGTGCAGCTGAGCCCGGGTAAAAAGCTTCAGAACTTGAGCTGAAACTTCTTCTCACAGTGCAGATGTACTGGTCTAAGGCCGGGAACATCCTCAGCAAGACAAACCCACAAGCTGAAGTGTTGGGTATTGGCATTGGTTGTCAGGCCTATCTCAAACTATCTAAATATTGCTTGTTGATAGGCAAGCATCTGGGCTTCAGCCTTCAGTGCCAAGAGCTTGCCAATCCCAAGCTCGTAGTTTGTGCTGGTCCTTCCTGAACGAGTCCCGACATACACAGTAAAGAGTAATTACGACTAAGGCCAAGCTAAGGGGTGCAAAGTGCGCCTTGAGTTTAGCTACAATGGTCTTGGAAAAGGAAACCTACCCACAAAGGACGCCTGCTCACACACATGCTGCCAGGAATGATCAAAAACCAAAGGTTGCTTTACAATGAGCATTGCACTTTTTGCTGAAATGCAACACCATACTGGCCTTCCACGCTCAGATCATACAAACCTCGACCAGCATGCGTATCCACGAAAAGCAATGGATCTGCATTCGCACAAAAGTCTTGAAGGAACATCACCAGAATAGAGTGCTTGAAGCAGTCCAAAGAGCTCCCGGCTTGTACCGTATGGTCATACTTCGACCTTAGCAACATCAACCATCACCAACGGCCCACAAGCAACTCATAGCAAACCGTTGCTGCCATGTCGGTTGCGGCCATGTGGCTCTGAGAAGCTCCTAATGTCTCGTGCTATCATATCCCGTACCGACGCAGAAACTAGCTCCCACACGCCAGCTGTAGAAAGTGCCCCAGTTAAAGCGCTGTAGGTGATCGCATTGACATCCTTGTTTGGAATCCCTGCAAAAATGTCCTGAGACGAATGGCAGGCTGACTATGACTAAGCATTTGCTGAAAAGTTTTATCAAGCTCTACGGACTCAGTCCATCCACCGATCGGGAGATGACAAGGTGGAGGAAAGCAAAGAAACACCTACCACACCAATATCAAAGCACCCACCCAAGTATCCAAGGCTGCTTGCCAATGACTGGCCTGACCACATGCAGTCACTGCTGCCGTGTAGGCAGTTGCGTCTGGAAGCAGTTGCAATGAAAACACCGAGGCCAGCAACGCCATGACCACCTGCCAGCGTGAATAGATGTTACAGTAAATGATTTTAATGTTCCTCTACTGTGAGCTATACGTTGACGTAATTTTAACAAAAAATGAAACACATGTTGAACAAGGTCCGAGGAAGAACTCTTGTTTTTCAATACAGGGGAATTGATATTGATTGATACGTCTGCGTGATAGATATGGGGATGGGTCACAACCAAAACCTGGAGCCCCAACACCATGTCATGTAGCTTGACCTTCCAAGTACGTCAACCAACGAATATATCCTGGTTTTGACCCAGAGCCATATTTTTTGACCCCCCTGGGCTGCCTGCCATTCGCTCCTGCAGGCTCGCATTGCGGAACTGCAGCAAACCAAGCAGCCCTCAATGTGACGCTTTGGCATTTCAGCCAAAACCACCAGAGCCAGCGGCCATTTCGAAGCGACATCAGCTGCTCGAATTACTGCATGAAAGCTGGCAGAATCTGTGGCCTGGCAACTGCTCAGCGTTTGCACCAGAATGGTCAAAGCCGTTTGCCATGCTGAGCCCTGAGACAGGGCATTGATAAGGCTGTTCCTTAGGTAGGCAAAGGCCTTGCAGGAGACAACTATAGTATTGTATTGCTGTATAGACTTGTACATAGTTATATACTGTGTACTGTGCGTGTATGTCTATGCTCAATCTTTGGAATCGTTTGAAGGACTTATATAGCTGGTAGAAAGCATTGACAGGGAATATGCAAATCCCGTGGTTTCGTCCCTGCAGTGGACTGCAAACAACTCTAAACAAGGGTCCGAGTGATAAGATTGATGGATACCTTGCTTGACTGCATCAGTTTGGCCAAGTCCATGGCACGCATCCATTCCTGTGAACTGCCAACTGCTGACATCAAAGAAGTAAACCTGAGGAAGCAAAATCAAGACTCAGTTGAGAATTAAAAATCCAAGCAAAAGAGCAACTGTGCATACTGTGCAATTCTCATCTGTCATAGAAGAGTGATGGCTATTTTCTTAGCAAGACGAATCCAAGACCTTTCTGAAAGGTCGAGCAGTGCCAGGACCCTCATTATTCTTGATTGGGAACAGGCCTTTGATAAAGTGTTCCAAAATAAGATGACTACAACACTTAAACCTTGTTCCGACTCAAGGTCCCCAACCGTGGAATCGGTCTAATCCAAAGCTTCTATACACAGATCCGTCAAGGCTGCCCACTATCCCCATATATTTTCTGGGTGGTTATGGGAGCATTGTTTGCCGATTTGAAACAGGAACTGAACACCCCCAAACAACAGCAACCAATTACAGTAATGGCATCCATTTTGCTGAGATGTTGTATGCTGATGACACTTCAATCGTCGGTGCCAATACTCATTGCATTAATGTTCTACTACAGTATATAGATGCAATCGAAAGACATGACGTAAAAGTGAGTGGAAGTGAGAGTTGCTATATTCTCTACAATCGAAGTGTTCTGGGCCTTGCAAGTCGGACGTAGGCTACATTCATCAGCTCCTGGCAACCTGGTACCTGGAAGGTATCGGTATCATTGTCATTCATTTGGCGCTAGATATATGTAGATAATTGCTTGCAGTAGTTGGCCTGCAAGTTACAGTAAATTGCCAAAGGCGATTTGTCCAAACGCGCGTCTGGCGGCGTCAGTGCGTTGGGCAAAACCTTCTCGGCTCGCATGTCGTCAAGAAGGTTTAGCCCCACTTCCAAAGCGCCACCAGCGCCACAAACCTGGCAGTCCAAGCGCCCAACACAGGCCACATTGACCGAGAAACAGGCGACAAACACTATATCAACGCTTACCCGGAAACATCCAAACATATCCTAAACCCAGATCCAGAAAGATGAGAGCTATATCTCCAGTCTTCGGTTCGAAAGTCACAATCAAGTTGACTTGCTTAGCTTCCTTGAACGGTGGGCTGTCCGCTTTACACTTCTCAGGTCGCGCCTTTATAAGGCTGTTGTAGGTGGCAGTGTTCTGCTGCACATGGAGACCTGAACATAACAATGTGATAATGCTTGCCAAACAATCTGTTCGGCTTCCAGGACAGCACCCAAGACTCCCAAGATCTCCCAAGACTCTTATTGACTCATTGGATTAATCTTCCAAACACAAAGCGATTCACATGGAACGAGAAAGAACATGAACATGCCCGCAACGGACACCCAATGCCATCCATCCGACACCCAGTGTCGTGCCTTGCATCCACTTCATCAGTTGGATGGCGACCTGCCACTGAGATCCCAAGCTGCTGATGCCCGCACCACAGCTGACTGTGTTGGGTGAAGTCATGGTGGAGATGAGTGCCAATGCCACCGGCCACTGGCCGCAGGAACCACAGGCACTCAAAAGGTTGGTGTAAGTGATCGGGTTTGGGCGCCTCAAGCAATCAAAGTTGAAACCATTTCAAGCACAACTGGAGGTATGCAACAAGATCGGGGAAATGCCGGAAGTGTGGCCTTAAACGCGAGAAGGTTGCGATTTAGAGCACACGAACAGCACCCACCTGGTGCACAAGTCATGTGCGCTATTCCCTTGCTTGCTAATCGCAGGAATGGCACACTGCCCACGCTTTCATTAATTCCAGAAAATGCACAGCTCCTTGCCAATTCCTTCCAGCATCACAGGCGTCAATTCCTGCACTGACCATGACCACGTCCGGAGTCAGTTTCGCATGTTGTGCCGAGCTCAACCTCGGCACAGGAAGGGGCGGCTCAAGGATCTCAGGCCATGCGCGCCGCAAACCAACGCGAAACACAATCATCCTAGAATCATCAGTATTTTGCACAACTGGAGTGGCTTGGACCGCGCATGTGAAATCAAAGGGCGTACTCACCCAGTAGGAGCAGCTGCGAAAGCAAAAGCGGAGGTTTCGAGCAAACTGGGTCTGAAAAAT